CAAGAGAACTCCACATTGCAGCATTTAGTTGCTGGATCCACATGTGTTGTCCAAAGCTGGCAGACTTGGAAGCTTCTATTGAGGAGCGTCATTCAAGAACTTTTAAGAGAAATGAAAGGATTTTGGAAAAGACTAATGACATGACTCAGAAAGGGTCCTACACCATTTTCCATTTTGGAAAATGGAATGAAGCAGAAGTCCCAGCAAAGGAAGAATGGATACAAAAACTTATGGAACATGCAGAAATGAAATCAAGACAACAAACTTTTTACTAAAGAATGGAAATGGTTTATTGAATATTTACAGATAAATTGTAAACAGATAAGAACATTGGCAGGATTCTTGAAATAACATGCAGTTTTATAAGAGTATGTATTTATAGTAGATGAATAAATGAGCAAATTTAGTTAATTTGGATATGCAGAAGATCTTAAAAACAAATTTAAGGAACCTCAGAAACAGGGGGAAGGAAGTCAAGTTTGGAAATGTTAACATGATCGTAAAATTAGTGAAATGTATAAGTCTGAAAAGCATAAATAAAATAGCAAGAAAGAAAGAAAGAAAGAAAGAAAGAAAGAAAGAAAGAAAGAAAGAAAGAAAGAAAGAAATGGTCCTACAAATTGCTCCCTAAGAGATTCAAACCATGGCAGGACAACTGAAGGACGTTTTCGTTCCGTTTGAATATACACTTTACATCTCCATTGTTCCATTTTGTAATTTGCGGAACTGAATGTATGTATATCAAGTAATTTAAGTTTTTCTTTCTTTTATATTTAAGCAATCCAAGCCAGGCCAAAATATAAAATGAGAGATTCATTTTCCGCAAGGGAAAAAAGGGCAATTTAACGAAATTGACCTAAATATTTAGCCATGCTCCACTTAAGGATTAGAAGGAAGGATTCAACCACTTCTTATGTTATGAAAGAGCAGTCTTCCATCCCCACTTTTAAGTCCCCTTTAAGCTCCTCTCAGAGATCAAATGAAGTTTGTTTGCCAAATCTCTATGTAAGGAAACCTGTTCTGTATTAGACTTTTAAAAGAGAGAGTGAGAGAGCAAAAAGTGTACTAAGCTCAGTAAATCCGGTTAGCAGGATAAACCTCCCTAAATCATTTTGCCCCCTCCTCGGATATTCTGGAAGCAGCATCAGCAGCAGTTTTTTTTTGTAACTTGATCCTATTTTCTTTGTGGTACAGCTTGCAAGCCCTCAATTGAACAAGGTAATTCAAAGTAGCCGCATTTGCCCAGCACAATCTCCTCCTGCTCGTTGGCACATATTTGGGTTGGGGTTGGGAGTGGGGGCAGCAAACTTCTAGATGTAACAATTTTAGGAATGGGGAAGGAAGGCTGAGCATTTAATACAGCCTTTTGGGTGCACAATCTCTAATCGCCGAAACCCTATAGACCCTATAGACGGTTAGGCTGTTGAAATCCCAGTGGCTTCCGCGGAATTTAAACAATCCAGCTGTTCAGAGGATTGTTGCAGCCAATATGGATAAGCTGAAAGCACAATGCAAAAACGCCTTTGGAAATTGTTAAAGTTCTCCCCGGCTCCTGATAGTCAAGGCAAACTTTCCCTCCCCCTCTCTCACTCGGCATTAAAACTGGAGGCATGCTTTGCTCTTACATTTGAAAATAGCTTTTTATTTTTACCCTTATTCATGTGTAAGAGTGAATTGCGCTGACACTCGCTGCACAAACTGTGTGCAGATGCCTCAAACAGACAGAGGCAATCCTAACAGAAGGGAAAAAAGCTTGCTGAAGGCTTGTGAACGGAGCAAAATCCATATGTTTACATACTTGGCTCCAGCAGATGTTCTTTGAAGCCATCCTGCTTTTAAAATGAGTAATGTGTTATGTACTGAAGTTCTCACCCTGGGCCAGCAGGGGGATACTGTAGATAGTTCAGGTCCACATATGCAAATAAGGGATCGAAAGTGACGTTCAGTGATTGGATAGTTACAGAAAGTTGTTACAGTTACGTTGTACTGGAGCTCTATATAAGCAGGCTGGGTGAACCCTTCAGTTCAGTTCTGTTCTGACCTGTGAATAAACAAGAGCTGTTTGGAGAATCGCTGTGTCGTCTGATATGTTCACTCACAAATTAACATAATGACCAAATTAGGACACAGGTGACGCTGTGGTTTAAACCACTGTGCCGCTTGGACTTCCGGATCAGAAGATCGGCTTTTCGATGCCCCGCGATGGGGCAATCTCCTGTTGTTCGGTCCCAGCTCCTGCCAACCTAGCAGTTCAAAAGCACACAGTGCAAGTAGATAAATAGGTACCACTCTGGCAGGAATGTAAACAGTGTTTCTGTGCACTGCTCTGGCTTCGCCAGAAGCGGCTTAGTCATGCTGGCCACATAACCTGGAAAAACCGTCTGCAGAAGCGGACAAATCCTGGCTCCCTTGGCCTGTAGAGAAAGATGTGCGCCACAACCCCAGAGTCGTTCGCGACTGGACTTAACTGTCAAGGGTACCCTTACCTTTAATGGCCAAACTGCATGTGTGTGCTGCCAAATACAGTTCTTTCCAAGGATATCAGGACAAAAGGAATGAGGAGGTGGAAGCAGAACCAAAACAGTATTTTAAAAAATAAATAGCAGGCATGCAAAGCATAAAATAAAATGTACCCGACAGGGGCTACCCAATCTCCTCTTCAGCTGCCCGGAGCCCCAGGTAGAGCAGCAGGAGAAAGATCCTGACCGTCGGTCTCCCAGCATCAGGTCCTTTGATCTGGGTAGAAGCTCTCTGGGCCCCTCCCACCTATGGCTTTTATAGCCTGCCTTGATATATTCAAATGCACCTGGCATTACTCATGATTAGCCCAGGACCCTGAGATGGAATTAATACAGAGCGGCTGAGAGTCTCCCACTACCTGCAGCCGGGCATCCAGCCAGCACTTGCAACACAGAAGAACCCAAGAAACTCCCGACAGGTGTGTGAAACACAAGAATCCAGCAGACCGCAAACTGGGGATGTTAAAGGAAAAGGGACATGCCACCTAACTCCTCGAAATACAATTGTCTTCTGCATTTCCACTACAATGTTTCCCTAAAGGAACAATGCAATAGACAAGAAGCTGGTGTGAAGCAAGGGTGGCATAAGTTAAGCTAGTGTGAAGTTACACCGGATCCAAACTCCATTCAGCATAGGAATTGCTGCTGGCTGAGCTCGCCTAAGCCTGGCAGAGGTGAAACAAGCCTTTGAAATAGACTTTGTGTTATGCCATCCATTTTTCCAGTCTAATTTGCAGTGTGCTGTCAGGTCACATGACTGAGTAGAATGGGCTTAATATCCAGAATACGTCCACCACCTTCTGATCACCCCCCCAATGCCTCTCCCTGTCATCTTACAACCAGTCCAATGGGTTGCACTGCTGTCAGCTTCTTCCTCTTTAGCCTCATTTTTGCCTCTGAAGCTCAGCAGGGAAGAGGGTGTCCTTTGTTCTGGCTCCCTTGGTCTCCTTGCCTTCAGCCCACCAGTCCTAATGGGCACCAACCGCCACTAGTTTGGGGATGCTCTATTTCTGAATTTCTGCACTAAGCAGAAGGGATGGCTTAAGCAACCTACAGGACCTCCTCCGACTCTATGATTCTTTGATTCCATTAACTGTGCAAAGACACAGCAGGCAGACCCTAGATGGGTAGATAATTTGGACTCATACATGCCTTAGCACACAGTTTGGGGATTGCTGATATATACTTTATACTGCCAAAACTGCATCAGCTTCCCCATAACATTTCTACAGCAGGAGTCTTCAGGTTATAAAATTGGCCACTGAAGAAGATTTATTCCCCTAATTGTTCATGAAAACGCAGATAATGAACATAAAGTAGGCAATAGCACAGGACCAGGTGTGCTTCTTGGCCAATATATGCCCTCACTTGTCTGAGCCAAGAAGCAAGTTGCAGATGGATGGATGCTTTAACGTGCCCAAAGTGGTTATACAGTGATGGACAAACATACAACTACTGTCCATATGCAAGCCTATTGAAATAGACATTTAAAAAGAGGAAATATCATGCAAATTGTGATTTGCCAAGCCTGATAGCTCCTGGGGTGTAGTTATTCCGTGCCATTATGGAAGACGTGCCTGGGCATTTCCTGGATCGTGCAATCATCATTAAAGCAACATTTGAGGATTCTGCAATCATTCTGATCTCTAGAGCACATGAAGCAACACTAACAGCAAAATTAAAAATCTGCCCAATGTGTCTCTTATTCTGTCTGCTGCATGTTCTAGGTTTCCTCCTTAGCCGGTCCCTCCTTCTACACCCCCCCCCATTTTCTATTGATGCTAACTGTCAGGACAGCAGTGGCGTAGCGTGGGGGTGCAGGGGGGGCCGGCCGCGCCGGGTGCAACATCGGGGGGGCGCGGAAGAGACTCGAGTGCTAAAATCCACGGGTTAGGGGGCGCAAATTACTTGCCTTGCCCCGGGGCTGACAACCCACGCTACGCCACTGCAGGACAGTAAATGGTTTCCCAAGATGAGTACCCAATTACTGTTCTACTATGCACATAGATTTTCCTGCGACAAAGATAAAGAAATTGATGTTTCATTCTCTCCCATAGCCATGATTAAGTGGGCTAGTTTTCATTACAACCATAGCCCGACATCTCTCCCCCCTGCATGTATGGTGGTTCCTTCACTTCTGGATATCAATAAGACAAGAAAAGTTTGTGTGTCTGCTTGTGTGTAGGGTGGGACTGCAGTTTCTGTCAGCAAGGGCTAAGCCACCCAGTCTCAGTGGAGGTGGGCAGGCTGTTTCTTCACTAGAAGTGTCCCTAAGCATTGTCCCTCCCTATCAGTAAGGTAATCTACAAGTCATTAACACTGCGAAAGTTCAAGAACTCCCACCCAGGATTTACACACAAAAGCGCAGTAATAGTTCAGGAAGAAGCTCTGCTGACCTTTCTCCCCTGTTTAATTCTACCTACAGAACTCACCTCCAACTCTTTACCCCACACCAAAAGCTAGGGAACTTGTGTCCACCAGCTTCCATGGTGGGATAATGACTCCAGATCACTTTCCTGCTAAATCACGCTCCCTTTGTCAAGGCTACATCTCTTGGCCAAGGAAGCAGGAGAGTTGTGGTGTTCGTATGGAGCCTCCAGTCGTTTCACGGACTATTGACCCATTCACCACTAATCCGCTGCCACCAACCAGCTTCTCCCCAGTAAAACACTTAGTCACAGTTGGGTTCTCAAGTTAACAACGAAGATTGTAGTTTATTGCAAACACAAATAAACTTTAAATGCATTCGAAACGCTCTTACCCTTTACCCTCTTAGTCTTACTTTATCCTGTCTCTAACTCACTCTAACTCCTCTACCTCCCCTCACACAAGAACCAACTGCACTAACTGTCTCTCTATTTCCAACTGTCTTCCAACTGCTTTTTCCCAACTGCCTAAACCTCTGGCAAAGCCTTTTAAAAACAGATAGGACTCTGGGCTTTTCTATTGGTCTACCTATTAACCCTTTCTCCCCCCCTGTACAGACATTTCCAAAAGAACAGGCAAACACCACAGTCCTCTCCCATATTAACCCCACAATTCAGTCTTCATGAGATCTCTCCTGGAACAGATATTTCCAGCCCAAGTTAGTTTGGCTCCCCTTTCTACCCTCACCAGCATTTTCTATTGTCCTTCCATGTTTGTTACTCTGTGTTTGGTCTAGTTAGGAACCTATGGAAAGGCTCCTTGTATTCTTCCCTTGAACCACTTCCACCAGTTAGGAGGGTTCCGGTTGCCTTGTTTTGTACAGTGCACTGGATGGAGTTCAAGGGAAACTTTGGCTGGATGGGAATGAAAACAATCCACAATGGCCCCGCTTTTTGCACTCTTTGACTGTTTTTTTGTCTGGCAGAGATGTCCTCAGACTCTGCTCATGGCTCTTACTTGCCTGGGTAGAGGACAGAGAGGGGTGTCTGAGTATACAGAAACTATCCTACCATACAATGATAACATTTACATTCATGGATCTGTCCACTTTGCCTCTGACCCATTCTTGACACATGCGCCCCCCATCCTCCCCAGAAGGCTGTTCAGAAGTGAATGTGTCCCTCAGGCTGAAAACATTTCCCTACCGCAGACATAAATTGGGGAGATATGGCAAGTGGAATATTTTCTTGAGCTAGTGCTTTTGCAGACATATTTGCAAGGCTGTGGTAAGTCACCATGCTCAAAGTACTCTTGTGCAGGTTTTTTAAAATAAGAAAAACTATTAAAGTTGCTGCTGAAAATTGAATTGAAAATACTACAGTCAGGTAAATATCACTTATATTTGGGATATATGGTTTCAACGTAACAGAATACCAAGAAGGATCAGATTGTCTACTTAGATCAGCCAGAACTAGCCAGAAGGGGGCTTTTAATTTTAAAAAAGACATTATTAAGGCAGATGAGTTACATAAGTATACAGAGTAGGGCGGGGTGACAATCCTAACCATATATTCTTTATTTACTTCCCTAGTCATTTTAGGACACAAAGGTGTAAGAAAACCATGGTAGAAGAAAGAAGATGAAATCAAATTTGCAATATAAGTTATAAAGAGAGAAATCTATGGAAATCCCTTCCCCCTCCAACCCTTGCCAATACCTGCATAAGGCAGATAGTGAAGGGAGGAAAAGCACTATGTCGTCTTTAGAAGCCAGGCTCCACTCACTCACTCGTCCTTTCTTATCTATATTCATGGGTTTTTCAGGGGCCCAGCAGTTACATGTCAGAATGATGAGTCTCAACCTTGTTTCAGGATAAAGCATCAATCTGCCGGTGCATACTGAGTCTGACCTGATAGAATTTAAGAGGTACTGTAGGCTCTGTGATTCCTCTACAGAATGTAATTTTTGAACTCAGTCCTCAGTGATAGACAAGATATTCTATCAAAGCTGCCTCTCTGAATTGAGGAAAGAGCTGTCCCAGGAGTATATCTCGAAGGTTTTGCCAATCTGTGTTCACGTGGAGACTAACAACCGTCTTACAAGTGACTTTTCTCCCTTCTGTTTAGCATGGACCTAGTACGCTCTGTCCTCCCACCTTTCACTTTACTTCCAGACAGATGCAATATATTATTTGTCTGCTATGTGCACTTATTTCCCTGCTGATCTAGGAGCAGCCGTGGAAAAGGGGAATTTCATGTTGGGGGTCGTTTGATAGCAGGGGCTGAAGCGCTTCCTCTGAAGTGTGAGATCGGAAAGAAAGTTAATGATAATGACTGTTAAATCTTATGTAAGCACAGCAGATTTAATGCTTGTTGGGGAGGGTGGGGATGAGTAAGTGTTAATCAAACACTGCATTTTTTGCTCTATAGGACGCACTTTTCCCCCTCCAAAAATTAAGGGGAAATGTGTGTGCGTCCTATGGAGCAAATGCAGGCTCTGTGGCTTCAGCGAAAGCAACGCGAAGCCTCCGAAGTGCAGAGGGAGCGCTCCTTCCGCGTTCCGGAGGCTTCATGTTGCTTTCGCTGAAGCCTGAAGAGCAAGAGGGGTCGGTGTGCACCGACCCCTCTCGCTCTCCAGGCTTCAGGGATAGCCGCCTGAAGCCTTCAGAGCACAGCGCGAGTTCCCGCTGCATTCCGCAGGCTTCAGGTTCCTTTCGCTGAAGCCGGGAGAGCAAGACTCTCCTGGCTTCAGCAGAGAGGGAGAGCTGCACAGCGCCCCTTCAGCCAAGCGGGAGGAGAAATGGAAGGGGCTCCTTTCTCCTGCCGCTTCACTGAAGTGGCGCTGACCAGAGAGGGGAGATTCCTCCCCCCTTGTTCTCCCCCTCTAAAACAAGGTGCATCCTATGGTCGGGTGCGTCCTATAGAGCGAAAAATATGGTATATCTGGGCGCCAGCCACAGGAAAATCCTAATCTCTGGTGGCTACCTCTCTATTTACTAAAGCAGGGGTGCTTGGAGAAAGGTCTCTAGTGACCAATGGCACCATCTCTAAGGGGCTGTGGGTGTCTCAGCCTCCTCAATATTTGTAGGCAGGGGGCCAAGCCCCCCAAATTTTGAGGGGGTAGAGGAGGTCTCATCCCAAAGATATGCACTTGGCTGACTGCACCACCCCCACCGCTGCCACAGTGACCAGGCCAGGGCCTCTACCGCCCTCACCTCCACTGCCTCTTCGGCAACGAGGCCATGACCTCCAGTGCGAGGCCTCCACCGAGTCCCACCACAGCCATAGCCGCACCCCAGGAAGCCAGGCTGCACTTCCAGGAGCTCAACCACATCTGCAGAGGGCCCCAACGGAGGCCATGTGGCAGAAGTGGAGGCCCTGGCTCAGTCGCCACCACAGCAGCAAGCCAGCAGATGCAAAGCAGTGGGAAGCAGCCGAGCATGGAGCCCAGCGTCATGAGCACATGATGCACAAGTAATGTTACTACGTCACATTGCACGTGCGCCGCTGAGCACCCACAATCTGGGGCGCAAGTCGGTGCCTCTGCTAATGGCTATCACAGCAAATGCCTAAGTTCATACAGGAGAAGAAGAGTTTGGATTTGATATCCCGCTTTATCACTACCCGAAGGAGTCTCAAAGCGGCTAACATTCTCCTTTCCCTTCCTCCCTCACAACAAACACTCTGTGAGGTGAGTGGGGCTGAGAGACTTCAGAGAAGTGTGACTAGCCCAAGGTCACCCAGCAGCTGCATGTGGAGGAGCGGAGACGCGAACCCGGTTCCCCAGATTACGAGTCTATTGCTCCTAACAACTACACCACACTGGCTCTCCAAACTTCAGAAACATAAGCCATGTAGCACCTCAGTGAGAACTAGTCCCTAGTCCACTGAATTGTGAAACTGATTCCACAAGTTGGACCTGCATCAAAGTTTACGGTTCAGGGTTCCAGACATTATCTTTTTGAGGATAATCCATTGCATTTCCCTCTTTGCTTAGTTTTTCTATCCTCTGCATAACAGTCACCATACTGGGACCACTCGTCATGTTCAGCCCCCTCTAGACCGGACATTTGGGCAGAACCCTTTGTTTGTAAAACCGTTATCCTGCAACCGCCCCCTTTTATGCATGGATGGTACCACTTCGACTACATAAGGATCCAATTCTATTGGTATATATATCATATCAGCCTTTGCCAACCAGATGTCCTACAGATGGTTTGGATTTCAACTCCCATCAGCACCAGCCAGTTGTGCTGGCAATCTAGAATTGGACTGGTATTTCTGGTCCGGTGAGTTTGTTTATTTAATTAATTCCATTTAAGAATCACTTCCCATAAAATGAGAGGAAATTTAGGATGGGAAAGTAGGGGGGAATAGTTTTGTTGAACGGCAGTATATAGATGAAATGGGTATATTTATACTATTCCATTGCCCCCACCTTTAAAAAAAATAGTATATGGGTGAATATGTGGACACACACACACACACACACACACCATTTTACATAATTAAAAAACAAACAACTTCCAAAATTATTCAGCGCATGAATGTGCCCACTTCGCAAACTTTAGGCAATAGTGCTAGTTACAGCTCCTTATGTTCCAAACGATAAACGAGGACTCATAAGTAGGGATGGGATTAGCTATTCTGTACCTGTTCATCTTTTGACCGAGTGATCATTACTCAAACTTGGAAGCTTAAAGAAATGTGAATCACAACACACCACGGTTGGTGGTTTGCAAAAATAGCATTTTTGGATTTGAACCTTCTTGCAACATTGCAGCATTTATGCAATGGGTGCAGTTCTTCACAGTACTGCTGCTGTTATTCATTGCTCATCATCAAGCAGTAATTTGCATGCCTCCAGAGGTATTGTAATCTGTCTGTCTTGTGGTGTCACATTAGGTTTGATGTGACCCCTTCTTCTGTCCTTATTTTCTTTGGGAGTTTAATGTGGCTTGCAAATACAGCTGAACAAAGTACTTCATTTTACTGTTTTGCTATTTTTCAAGTTGACTTCATCATCGATCCTCAGTTGTGCCATTGGCCCTAACTGCGTTGTTTGTTTTGCAGGAGGGATCTGCATTGTTTATTTTAAGTCTTGTTTGTAAAAATCATTTTCTTTAGAAATAAAAGCCCTTTTTTGACAAATATGCATTTGGTTGATCAATATAAGTAAACAACATTAACACTTATTATTTTTAGAAAAATTGATACTTTAGATAGGGTTGCCACTGAGCTAGTTTTAAGGAAATTCGGCAAAATCTAGACATCTGACATGGGTTGACATCTGTCCAGAATTTCCCAGACATTTTAGTGATTTCTGCCTGGACACTGGTACAGACAAGAGTATTCCAGTATGACAACCCTAACTTTAAACATAAGCATTCAAACATTTCACACATTTAAACATTCGGTTGGGTGTGCAATGGTAGGGGTGGAATTATAATGCAATTATATAGTGGAATTACAACTTTCTCTTTGAAGAAAGTTGTGTGTATTGTTTCCTCATCTGTATAAGAAATGAATGAAAAACATAGCCTTAATATATGATGAATTGAGGATGAAAGCTGAGGAGATGAAATCAAATTTATGTAATTCAGAATGACCTAAGAATGTACGGCAGTGGATGAGACTACGTATGTGACTCTGAGAGAAACTCAAAAAATCATTATTTCTTTTAAAGAAAGCTACTGGTACCATTAGGCATTACTAATGTCTACACACACATAACAGAAAGCTATATAAGTAGGGAGACAGGATAAGAAACGTTAACAGTGAATGTTAAGCTACCTTCATTTCGTATCCCTCAACTGCCCCGATTAAATCGGGGCATCCTGTTTATGGGTGCTGTTTTCTTGAGAGCAGGATGCCCAAAACCACACATTTAGGGGCACCACGATCTCATGCGGTTCATGTGATTCATGTAGCCGTGCGTCCTGGTTTTCTGCAGCAATGTGTTTGTCAGGGGCTAGACTGAGGAGGAATGGTGGGAGCCGCCCCACTCCCTTCTCCTGAACATTCCCAAGGGCATGAGGACAGTATTGATTTAGAACAGTGGTTTGCAGAGGGGCATAGTCCAGAGGAGGAAAGCTGGGAAATACTGGGTGAAGAACAGCTAGAAGAGGGCACACCAGGAGAGAGATGGCTGTCAGATTCAGTGTCCTTGGACAGCATTCTTGACCCCCCCCCCTTCGCCTAGGACTAGACGGGCTCTGAGAGTGATAGAACAGAAAGAGCAGAGGCAACAAGCTCAGATTACCCGGCGTAGGAGTTACGTAGATTAATGGGGACAGAGGGAGTAAACCTAAACTGGGAGCAATGCCGTTTTTAGAGAGAGATGCATTCCTTTGTCTCTCACTGTGATTATTAAATAAACTATCTGGTAAGAATGTTCCTTTCATTTGATCTTCTTAATTACTGCCACTGGGGAAGGGATTCGATTCCCCGAAGCCTGGCAGTGGTGGAGGGTATATCATTGCCTCCCTGCACATTTTAGCACATTGCATCCGATGTAAATTCCAAAACATTGACAACAAACGGAGTATTGTTTGTATAATGGCCTGAGTTTGAAAACGTTGTTAGGTTGGTGCTTTTTTAAAAAAATCAGTACTGTTCAATAAAGCTAGTGGTCATATGGAAATTAATTGGCTCACATGGTTAGCAAATGAATGAAAAGCACAGAGCCCACATTAAAGTTCAATTACCATTCCACATAAGAGTCAAGCACATAATAGCAGACAACACAAGCTCCTCTTTATTCTCTTGTATCACTGTTACAACTGTGATAACCACACCCAGGGCTTTTTTTCCCAGTTGGAACTCACTGGAACTCAGTTCCGGCCCCTCTCAGGTGCCATTATAATTGCCATTATAAGAGAACAAATGAGGTATTCATGGTGAGTTCAGGCATCTTTTTTTCTAGAAAAATAGCACTGACCACACCAGGTAAAGGTAAAGGGACCCCTGACCATTAGGTCCAGTCGCGGACGACTCTGGGGCTGCGGCGCTCATCTTGCTTTATTGGCCGAGGGAGCCGGTGTACAGTCATGTGGCCAGCATGACTAAGCCGCTTCTGGCAAAGCCACAGCAGTGCACAGAAACACCGTTTACCTTCCTGCCGGAGCGGTACCTATTTATCTACGTGCACTTCATGCTTCCGAACTGCTAGGTTGGCAGGAGCAGGGACCGAGCAATGGGAGCTCACCCCATTGCAGGGATTCGAACCGCCGACCTTCTGATCGGCAAGTCCTAGGCTCTGTTTTTTTTAACCCACATTGCCACCCGCGTCCACACCAGACATTGTATTAAAAAAACCCTCCTAGATTACCAAAACTTGTATAATCTCTTAAATCTAGGGTACCTGTCTAGTATATTACAATTTCAAACCAGAACCCCAAAGATATGTGACTGGTGAACTGAAAGATTCAAAAGCACCCTGAAGAAAACAGGGAAGGTTTTTGAGAAGTGTTTCACTTAAACACTTCATCTGATCTTCATAAAGTATTCATGCTGCACATCATTAACTCCAGACCCAAGTCCATCAGCTGTGAAATTCAATGTTTGCATGCAGAAAACCAAGGCTCTGGCTGGCTTTTATTCATAATATAAATCTGCAGATGCACCATCCTTCTTAAGATGACATAGTGATTCAGAAAATAAAGGATTGTAAAGATTAAGGGAACTTTGAAGAGAAGAATGTCATTCTTTACAGAGTGCACAGCGCCATTGTCCCCAATTATGCTTCTGAAGGAATGTGTTGGGTTTTGGTGTCTCTCCCCCCCCCCCCCGTCCATCTCTGAGGACAAAAGCTGAAGGACAGTTTTAAATGAAAGTCTCCTTTAGGAATACAAAATCATGAGCTAGACAGATTCAGCACTGACTGTGCCATGCGAGTGGTGACAAAGAGAGACGGAATACATGCCAATAAAGGATTGAGAAACATGAAGAGGCCATGAAAACAACCCAAAATTGTAGCAGAAGAAGAAAAGGAGGTAGAATACAGCGAGGAGAAAGAGGTTTGTTTCATGTATTCAGAAATGGACAATAAAATTCTCAACAGAGAACACATTATTCCTGCCATTACAAATACATCTGTAGGCATTGCCATCGCATTTTGCATAAGGCAACTTTTTGATGAATGCTTAGGGCCGCTATATGCCACATTACTCACACTCTGGAAGAAAAAAGGGTGTGCTTAAAGCAGCCACTTTTATTTTTAAAGAAAAAGCCACAGGGAACAATGTTTCCAATCCAGATTGAGGCCCGCACCTAATTCTTGCCCAAAATACCATATCCAGGTGTGATTGCTCAATCAGTAGAGACTGAGCAGGAGAATTTTAATCTGAAGGTCACGGGTTCAAGCCCCATCTTGGGCAAAAGATACCTGTATGGCAGGGGGTTGGACTAGATGACCCTGGTGGTTCCCTTCCAACTCTGTGAATGGTTCTGTTATTCTGTTGTATCTGAAGGGCTGTTCACAGGGAAGATGGAGCAGATTTGTTTTGTGAGAGATGCTTGTGCTGTGATTCCTGCTCTGGAAAGGGTTGGTCTAGAGGGGATTGGTCTAGAATTCTCTGATTCTCTCTGATTCTAGGTAAAGGTAAAGGAAACCCTGACCATTAGGTCCAGTCGTGGCCGACTCTGGGGTTGCGGCGCTCATCTCACTTTATTGGCCGAGGGAGCTGGCGTACAGCTTCCGGGTCATGTGGCCAGCATGACTAAGCCGCTTCTGGCTAACCAGAGCAGTGCACGGAAACGCCATTTACCTTCCCGCTGGAGTGGTACCTATTTATCTACTTGCACTTTGACGTGCTTTCGAACTGCTAGGTTGGCAGGAGTCTCTCTGATTCTACTTGCCTCTATATGGCGCTTCTGGAGCTAACATCTAGGAAGGAGGCAATTTTTGATAGAAGACTGCTCTGGGCCAGGATCAGGACCATATTTCAGACCAGTGCCCCAATGCTGCTTTTTCTTAAAGCAGACCCCCTGAAATCAACTGCACTTAAGTCAGTCCCATTGATTTGTATGGGTCTACTTGAAGTATGACGAAGCCTCGATGTTAATGTAGTGAGTTTGACCTAATGTGAAATGTCAAGATGAGTTTCCTGCTTGGGCAAAACAGCCAACCGATTTCAGTAGACCCAAAAGAGCTCTGAGAAGGCTTGGCACATTCCTCCATGGGTCTTGAGATATCCCTGCTCAGAATACCACTTAATGGTATCTGTGATGTTACATGGAACTGATTGAGCATGGTGACTCTTGAGTGTGAGCTGGAGAGTCCTTCATTCAAATCTTACTGTGTGGTTTTGGGCAAGCCGAAAATTTCAGCTTAAGACCCTCTATATGCAACACTAGAAAAGAAATACACTGGCTTACCTTTCAGGGCTATTAAAAGGATTTGCGAGGTAATGTACATGAACTGATTTTAAGACACAAAATAAGTGCTAAACATCACTACCATTTGAGCATTAGAATTGACCACACTTTATGTGAATGCTTTATAGCTAAATTTAAGAACAATAAAACTGGAAAGATACCAATGGATAACCTAGTTTCCCTCCACCACAGAATGTTTCCATTATATTATATTTAGCCAATTCCAATCCATCTTTATTCAGCTTTCAGTGTGTACATTTGTCCTACAGTTCATGTAAATAATAAATAACAATTTTATTTATACCCCACCCATCTGGCTAGATTTGCCTAGCAGTTAAATAAATAAAAAGGAGGTATATCTTGGGTGTACTCTCCAGATTATGATGGAAAACAAGGTGGGACCCAGTTCTCAGCTATAGTTTAGCTTCGTCTTATGTTCCCTACACATAAATCTGCAGTGCTTTTCTTCTAGAAAAAAAAGATACCAATACTGAGTACCCCCGAGTACCCCCAGAAAAAGCACTGTCCATATTAAAGATCATTCACAGTGTAATGCTATACATAGGCTAGAAGTCTACTCAGAAGCAAGTCCCTCCAAGTTCAAGAGCCTTACTCCTAGGTAAGCGAGCTTAGGATTGTAGCCTTACTGTGGTTTAGCTTTCTCTTAGCCTCTTTTATGCTGTACTTCCCTTTCTCAGCAATCAGAACTGCTGGTTTGCACAGCACACTGAGCAAAGACAATAGAAAATGTCTATGTAAGGTCATCATGGGCTGAACAAGTTCTGGTCGTTCAGCCCCACTCCTTTGCCTTCGCGGTCCTCAGTGAGAATTGTTGCCAGGCAACGGCCAATTGCCAGCAAGGAAAGACTTGCCTCCATTATGAGCTGAGTGAATTCAAGCTGCTCAGTTCCCACTCCTTTGTCCTCCAAGATTCTCAGTAGGCTTTGCTGCCTCTATGGTTTGAGGGTGAAGGTCAAAATTAGGGCAGACCCAAGAATAAGGGCAGAAAATGTCACTTGAGTTCCTCTGCTTGAAACCAGACTTCCCATTTTTCATCTGGGAATCTTTTATAAGCTGCTCTGAGAACTTCTCATAAGGCTATAAAGTGATCTTCCTAGGGTTAATGGGAGTCGTTGAGTTGAGAGAGCTGGCATCCATCTGTCTTGGGAGATGATGGAAGAAAGTGCCTTTGGGGGTAAAGTCAAACCACTGGAGAGTTACTGTCAGGATGCTGTCAGCGGCTCCCACCTGGTTGCCCAGGTAAGTATAAAGACAAGGGAAAGTTTCTTACCATCCCTTTTTATTTCAATCTTTACAGAGAGAGGCTATAGAACCCAGCTTCTAGGATAATGGCGTTGTCCTGAGTGAATCTCCACACCCATCTTTCCCACTTCCTCATTCGTCATTCTCATCATCTCCTCTGTGGGTGCTGCTACATGCGCTTTGTCTTTGAGCTCTTTGTTCTCCTACTTTTAAGGCTTGCTGGGTTCTGGGAGATGGATCGTTTTCTAATGACACCATGTCAGCTGAGTGTTATACCAGTTCTCCCATGACTTCCCAGCTTTCCCCCTCATCTGCCTCTGAGCTGCTACCTCCCTCAATGCCCTGTTGTAAATATATAGTGTCTTCCTCTTCCTCCTCCCTGGAAAGGTCAGTATGGGGAGGTGGTCTCCACCATTCTTCCTCTGCCCAGTCTTTAACAGTTACAGTGCCTGATGTAGCTGTAGAGACCGACATGGGAGGGACATGTTTTGTTGCAGAGGGTAGATGAAGGTATCCAGTTCTACTGCTACGGGTGCACCATGGTGTTTCATCTCTCCAAGCTCCTCCCAGGAGTCACTCCTCCTCTGGTCACTGCTGTGGATGCATAAACTGACTATCTGTCTCCAGTGATGGGTATTGAAGTTCAACAACACCTAGGGAGCCAGTGTTTCCTCACTCCTGCTCTAAATAAATAAATAAAATTAAAACTGCTGCCTGTCCCAGCTTCTCTAGGAACCTACCATGCAGAATATGTAGTTTGATAGTTAATAGTTTCTCTCTCTCTCTCTCTCTCTCTCTCTCTCTCTCTCTGCTATACAGTGGTACCTCAGGTTAAGTACTTAATTCATTCTGGAGGTCCGTACTTAACCTGAAACTGTTCTTAACCTGAAGCACCACTTTAGCTAATGGGGCCTCCTGCTGCTGCCGCACTGTCAGAACACGATTTCTGTTCTCATCCTGAAGTTCTTAACCTGAAGCACTATTTCTGGGTTAGCGGAGTCTGTAACCTGAAGCGTATGTAACCTGAAGTGTATGTGACCTGAGGTACCACTGTAATGCTTTACATCAACTGGACAGACATTGTTTACCCATTGTGCCTCTTTCTTTCTTCCTTTCTTTCTTTCTTTCTTTCTTTCTTTCTTTCTTTCTTTCTTTCTTTCTTTCTTTCATCCCCAACCCTCTTTCTTTCCTTTTCTCATTCCCTTACTTACATGGACCTTACTTACATCACATTCAGACATTATCCAACAAAATAAACTCATCTCCCAGTTCCAGTCTCAATTCCTGACAGGGTGTTTCCTGTTTGCCCTTTTAGCTCACTCACTGGTAGATGGAGATATTCTCTTTCGGTTGACACACAGCCACTGCTAGCCTTGTCTGACTGACTGTGTTCTTATCCTGCCTTAGCTCTGCCTAATTTCTATTCATGCTCCCATATGAATACTGCGAACAGTTATTTGGGCCTGCAGAAGCTTCCTGTGACCGGTGGCTGAAAAGGTGCTGAATAAAATTCAAAACATGAAGTCAGTAATAATGAGGTTTTGACAGTGCTACTGATAGTAGCCGGGCTTGAGAAATGATTTTAAACAGATTGCTCCTTGGGGGGAATAAAACATTTTATTTCAACCTGAGTTGCATAGGAGCAGCGCTAAAAATAACTTCTATTAACTGTTCCATTCAAAGGAAAATGAATCAAGGAGTAATTACAATGCCTTAAGAAAAAAGTCAAGGATCTCCATCAGTTGGATGCATGGGGATTGTATTTCATTTATATTGTGCTAAAGAGAAGTTGAGCTCTGTATGAGGAGTCCAAAATTCATCGTGTGATTATTGGTCTGTGTTAAATTTAAAATCATGAAATAGTCTAGCAGTCAAGTTTGCAAAGATTGAAAGATCCAAAAGTCACAATGCCTAGTGCAAGTAAGAAGTAATAGGAACAGATTGTCAAACAATGTTATTCTCTGGCACTTTCAAGTACAGTTTCTTTTGCAAATGTGGTTCACCACTGACAAGAACAATTTTCTTTGTTTCTGCAGCTTCTAAGGACATTCCTTACAGCCCAGTCCTGGTCATAGGCTTCAGCTGCTGCAGTGCAAGCACAAAGGATAATATGTGAAACAACCAACAGCCTTGAGATACCTTAGATGACCAAAGTTTGGATGGCAAACACTTTCATGGAGCACAGTCCATTTCATCATCCGATTCATATTCCTGAAACAGCAGCCAATCAAGGAGCAGCCAGTTGGCTTACAAACAAGGCGAGGAAAGGGTTTTTTCCTGGTATGTTTTGGAGGTTCTGAAAGCATTGCATTCATTCTTTCTTTTCTGTAGCACCACCGGTGTCCTTCACTCAATACGAGTAGTCAGGTCCCAGCTCTGAGGACTATGTTTGCACTGAAAATATACCTCGGTACAAATATTGTGCAACTCTAAATAAAATCAGGGGGGGCAGATGCTACCAGCCAGCTTGATTTGACAACAATTTCACCGAAGGCAATTTAATGAATAAACATTTTTTTTGCAGAGGCAGGACAGTGTGGAAATGCTATCCTAGATTTGGGTAACTGTTGCTTAACAGGAGAAAGAGGCAGGGAGGTCAGCATGGTGCAAACCCACTGGCAGGATCACCAAATTGGTCAGCATGGTGCAAACCCACTGGCAGGATCACCACATTGATTCCACTATTGTATTTGCACTGACTTCACCATCTCACCCCTCTCTCTCCTTGCATAGCTGCTCCACCCCATCTGGTAAGCTGCTTCCCCCTTTTCACAAGCAGAAACTGTAAGCGCAAACACTACAAAAAGGCTTTTTATCATTTCTGGCATTTTTTGCAAAAAAAGAAAAGGAAAAGTGATTCTGCTCCTGCACTAGGTTTGAATAGGACACAACCAAGTTTTAAGAAAAATTGAGAATGGATCTCTTTAATCCATAGTAGATGCTGCTATGACAGTTGCAACGAAAAGGCTAATATGAAGTGCACATCCCTGTATGTCCTTGCCTTTGGTCAGCAGTACCCAAAAGCTAAGGAGAAAATTATTAAAAGCTTGCTTTTTTGATATCTCTTTGTCTCGGTCGTTGTATGGAAAAGAAATGTTACCAATAGGATTGTTCAGGATATAGATTGTCTTGTTCCACACTTCTGACCTACACTGCAATGTTAACATAGATTAACAACTCACGACCTAAGAGGATTATTACAGTTTCTCAGATAAAGCAGGTAATTAATTCCCCGAGGGGACTAATGAAGCCATGTTTTGCTATAATCATGTTGAGTTTTCTGACGGTTTGAAAGGCAGCGCTAAAAACTGGACAAGCGGGGCAACAGCAAAGCATCAGGATGATATTTTACAGCAGGCTCATACCGTTAATCATTTGGTGAATTTCGCACTCGACACTGCTGCGTATGAAGTAATCACATTATTGTGTCGCTTCTGGACTATATTTCATGCAGTTTTGTGAGGCAGGCGCCAGCACCCACATAGCACAAAGCCCACAAGAGAGGCTATTCCTCTTTCAAAGTGGGCTGGTCATTGAAAACACAAGGCACTGATCACTTTACAGAGATGGAAATAAGCATTTTCTCCCTTCTCCAGATGCCAGAGCATTCAGGAGACTGGAAGAAGGTATTTGTCCTCACTGTAAACACTTTTAGGAGTCCCTGAAGGAAATTCTAAGGGGCTTGAAATGTATTGGATTTTTTTCTTTAACGGCTTTTTAACTGGTTGTTTCACAATAAAGGACTATTTTTTATCTATGTCAGCAAACACTGGCCAATATGGTTCATGGCAGATTTTTACAGCCGTAAAGACTAGGAATTGCCACTGAAGCTCGTGGAGTCAGACCAAGATATGGAGTCCAGGGGCTCAAAGAAGAGAGAAGTGTAAACAACTTGAATTGTGCTCTGGCTCAGATTTAAATCTGAGCTGGAGACAAATTCCTAGATGGCCGGGGCCCCCTCACAACCAGTCAGCACCAAACCAGACCCCAGCCACCAACCCTGCCCCACTTCCCTTAAATTCAACTGGGCCAGCCATCGCAGGCAGCTGAACTAAGAGGCTATGGTTTTGAAAACAACTGGAAAGGAGGCAGGGTATATCCTCCATCAGTAAATACCCATTAGAACAAGGGCATCCCTGGAGGGAGCTGGGACTTCCACAATACACACCTGTGGTTTGGAGGAGACTTTTTTGTCTCTGTGCAACCTCCAAAACTCAATGATGTGTCTGTGCATAGTAGATGTGTCCCTCCATAGGGGTGATAAGGGTGTTTGATGGGCATCCTCTCTGTCTCTTACCCTTACCTGTGTTTGCTTGTCATCGTTAGCCACAGCAACCAAGTTTATGAGGTTCGGGGATCAGACATTAGTGGGATGGAAGAAGGCTGGCTGGGGTGAAAGGGGCTTGGAGCCTCATGGTGGGAAATATCAGGCTGACCTTGAATTAGTTCAGAAAAAACCCCAGGCAATTTCCTGAATTTTGAAATAATTTGGCTTATTTCTGAGCAACTGAATGGAAAGCACAGGTGGCTTACTTCCTTCTTCATTGAGAACAGAAACTTGGTTTCTTTAAATAAATTAAAGCAGAGATCTTCACATATCTCAATTCTGCATCCAGGACCACATTCTATACTTTCCCCATGCTCTCAGGACCCAGTGTTGGTCCAGAAATCAGGGGTACACTATCTCTAAACAAGGAGGGTCTATTTAACCTTTTAATAACTAAACAAAAACCTAACAATACAGTGGTACCTCGGGTTACAGACGCTTCAGGTTACAGACACTTCAGGTTACAGACTCTGCTAACCCAGAAATAGTACCTTGGGTTAAGAACTTTGCTTCAGGATGAGAACAGAAATTGTGGTCTGGCGGCAGCGGGAGGCCCCATTAGCTAAAGTGGTACTTCAGGTTAAGAACAGTTTCAGGTTAAGAACGGACCTCCAGAATGAATAAAGTTCTTAACCCTAGGTACCACTGTACAGGGAATATGATGAAAGTGTTCAGGAGGAGAACGGATTGGCTCACTGAAGAGTATTACCTGTATTATGCATTAGTTTTTCATGCTGAAGAACTTTGATAAATAATTACTAGGGGGTAATAGTAACCAGAGGGACGCGGGTGGCGCTGTGGGTTAAACCACAGAGCCTAGGACTTGCCGATCAGAAGGTCGGCGGTGCTCATCAATGGTTCCTCTTCATCCTGGAGAAGAGTGACTAGTGGGGTGCCACAGGGTTCTGTCTTGGGCCCGGTCTTATTCAACATCTTTATCAACGACTTGGATGATGGACTCAAGGGCATCCTGACCAACTTTGCAGATGACACCAAACTGGGAGGGGTGGCTAACACCCCAGAGGACAGGATCACACTTCAAAACGACCATGACAGATTAGAGAACTGGGCAAAAACAAACAAGATGAATTTTAACAGGGAGAAATGTAAAGTATTGCACTTGGGCAAAAAAATGAGAGGCACAAATACAAGATGGGTGACACCTGGCTTGAGAGCAGTACATGTGAAAAGGATCTAGGAGTCTTGGTTGACCACAAACTTGACATGAGCCAACAGTGTGACGCGGCAGCTAAAAAGCCAATGCAATTCTGGGCTGCATCACTAGGAGTATAGCATCTAGATCAAGGGAAGTAATAGTGCCACTGTATTCTGCTCTGGTCAGACCTCACCTGGAGTACTGTGTCCAGTTCTGGGCACCACAGTTCAAGAAGGACACTGACAAACTGGAACGTGTCCAGAGGAGGGCAACCAAAATGGTCAAAGGCCTGGAAACGATGCCTTATGAGGAACGGCTAAGGGAGCTGGGCATGTTTAGCCTGGAGAAGAGGAGGTTAAGGGGTGATATGATAGCCATGTTCAAATATATAAAAGGATGTCACATAGAGGAGGGAGAAAGGTTGTTTTCTGCTGCTCCAGAGAAGTGGACACGGAGCAATGGATCCAAACTACAAGAAAGAAGATCCCACCTAAACATTAGGAAGAACTTCCTGACAGTAAGAGCTGTTCGACAGTGGAATTTGCTGCCAAGGAGTGTGGTGGAGTCTCCTTCTTTGGAGGTCTTTAAGCAGAGGCTTGACAACCATATGTCAGGAGTGCTCTGATGGTGTTTCCTGTTTGGCAGGGGGTTGAACTCGATGGCCCTTGTGGTCTCTTCCAAAACTATGATTCTATGATTCTATGATTCTATGATTCTATGAATTCCCGTGACAGGGTGAGCTCCTGTTGTTCGGTCCCAGCTCCTGCCAACCTAGCAGTTCGAAAGTACATCAAAGTGCAAGTAGATAAATAGGTACCGCTCCAGCGGGAAGGTAAACGGCATTTCCGTGTGCTGCTCTGGTTTGCCAGAAGCGGCTTAGTCATGCTGCTCACAGGACCCAGAAGCTGTACGCCGGCTCCCTCGGCCAATAAAGCGAGATGAGCGCCGCAACCCCAGAGTCGGTCACGACTGGACCTAATGGTCAGGGGTCCCTTTTTAATAGTAACCAGAGGCAGTGGTGGAGCAACATGCTGCAGCCCCCCAAGCAGAGAACAGGTGGGAGTGTGGCTGGTGCATGTCCCGGGGGCGTGGTGTGTCGGCCATGGGGGCATGGTGAGTGGCGCGGGGGCGTGGCGCATTGCCTGCGGGAGCGTGGCACACATTCAGGGTTGTGGGGTGTGCATCCCGGGAGGGGGCAGCCGTGATGGCACTCTTTCCCCAAATGGTGCCTGGGGGGGTCCGCCCCCACCCCCCTCTGTACACCAGTGACCAGAGGTTCAAAGAATATGTGACCTTTCTGACTGGGGCGTTGATTTTAAGAAGAGAAGCTCTCAATTTCAGAATTTCTGTCAGTGTGCCTGCCACCCCCCCCCCTCAAAGTGGGAGTGTGAGGGTATGTCCATTTCTTTTGTCTTCCCACTCACTGTCCAAGCAAAATATTCTGGGAACAAAAGAGTGAGGACAATGAGGAGAATGGATATGCACAAATGAGCCTCTCTCTTTTTGACATACACAATGGAATTGGCATCAGGGCAGCTACAAAATCAGTTTTGACATCTGCTCCTATGTCAACACATTAATTACCTGCTTCTGTTCCTTTGCCTGCGGGCACTTCAGCTGAGGCTTACCCATTCCAACATTTCTTTCTATCTTTCCTTTCATTACCCAGCCTTAGTTTTGTAGGAGATCTGTGGCAGAAATGGACCAAGTACAAGGAACAGAGGCTGGGGGTGGAGAGAAAGACGCTATTCAGACCTCAGTATGTTTACCTGCCTTCCTTGTAAAAAAAAGGGGGGGTGTTCTGGAATTTCGAAAGCAATTTTCTCACTCTGTTTTTTTCTTTTTAGGTAGTTGATTCAAACTTCTTTTGAGAGCCAGTGTGGTGTAGTGGTTAAGAGCAGTAGACTCGTAATCTGGTGAACCGGGTTCGCGTCTCCGCTCCTCCACATGCAGCTGCTGGGTAACCTTGGGCCAGTCACACTTCTCTGAAGTCTCTCAGCTTCACTCGCCTCACAGAGTGTTTGTTGTGGGGGAGAAAGGGAAAGGAGAATGTGAGCCGCTTTGAGACTCCTTCAGGTAGTGATAAAGCGGGATATCAAATCCAAACTCCTCCTCCTCCTCTTCTTCTTCTTCTTCTTCTTCTTCTTCTTCTTCTTCTCCTTCTTTAAATTTCTGATACTATTAGCCAGCAGAAGTGGCTCCTCCATTGCGGCAGAGTCACAGCGCGAGCTTCACAGCAGGACAGTTGGCATCAATTACTGGGAGGGTGAGGGGTGAGGAAGTGAGGGGGCAGACACTTCCCTCCCCACTATTTCTCCTCTCTCCCTATCAGTAACTGGTGATGACATCACTAACGGAAAGTTAGCTTTGTGTCTCCCCCACCCCACTGTCAGGGACTAGGCAGAGGAGGAATGGTGGAGACCACCTCCCCAGCCTGACCCTTCCAGAGAAGAAGGAGACAGTTCAGAATTACAACAGGAGTTTGAGGGAGATCACAGCTCATAGGCAGATGAGGGGGAAAGCTGGGGAATAATGGGAGAGGAGGAGGAGGAGGAAGAAGAAGCACCAGGGGAGTGACAGCTGATGGATTCAGTGTCTTTAGAGAGCATTCCAGACCTCCCTTCACTCCCAGAACATGGCAGGCCTTGAAGGTAGGAGAGCAAAGAGCTCATAGGCAGATGGCACATCCCAGCACCTGTAGTGATGACTCATGAGGAAGTGGGAGGGGTGGAGATTCACTCGGAGCAATGCCATTATTCTGAGGCCACATCCCCAAGCTTCTCTCTGTGAATATTGAATAAAAGCAGGTAGCATGGACTTTCCCTTGTCTTGTCCATTCCTGGCAACCTGCTGTGGAAGTTGGTTCCTCTGCACTTCTGTTAGTCGTCAGTGCTAAGAACTGAAGCCAAACATTCATTCAGCAATACCTTCAGTGCCATTAATTTTTTCAATGCTAGAAAAATGCAACCTGTGCTGTTGATAGAAGTAGTATGACTCATGCAACACGTTGGCGACTAATATACATACAATAATTACCAAAATGATTATGCTTTCTTTATCAGTCTTCTGAGAAAAATACAAAACCTTATGCAAAGCCACAGAGACTTGCGAACTACCCAACCTAAGGTGAACTTATAATGTCTGATTTCAATGGGTTTTTCAAGTGCTTACCTCAGTCTTTTGTTTTATTTATCTTTTTAGGTAAGTTCATGAAGATGCCAACCAAAGGTAAGTTTGGTGTTCACAATACCGAGAGATGCTAGTGAAGTTGTAGTTGGATGTTAATGAAGTTGTAGACAACAGGGTGCCGGCGTTTTGCACCTGTTTCGCCCTGGCAATCCAAGTAATCAAGAGGCCGCTGTTCGCCCCCGATGGGGCTCTTTTACTGGGGCTTGCAGATAGCACACTCCCAAGGTAGTTTTCCGGGCTTCTTCAGTGGTCTAATCTCAAAGCCTTGATACGTATATTGATATTCAATTTCATAGAGAATACTATTTCTTGGCTTAAGCTTAAGAGACTGATTTGCTTAATTTTTTCAAAGCTGGGGTACACCTTTAACCCTAACTTGCAATATCACACCCACCTTTACATTTTTCCCGTCTATCCCTCTACCTCCCATTCTCACTCTTCACCAGCCCTCTGCAAGTGCAGACATTCATACGCGCTCCATCTCTTTAAAAAGTAGAAACCTTAGAAACCTTTTTTTTAAAATTGTGCTAGTAGTGTTAGCATGGTCCATTTTAGGTTGGACCACAAATCACCAGCTGAAGACCAACAGAGTGCCCTACATCATATCAGCTCCCACATTCCTGTTCTCTTATTCCTTTGACTAATTTTTCCTCCTGTGACAGATGCTGCTAGATGGTTCATTTCTGCAGAGTAATAACCCACAACTCATGTAGAAAACCAAGGAGCCAAGGGCATCTTAATTTAACATTTATGTTCTCCATTATATTATATAGTAGCAATAATATGCTGTTCTATTGACTTTTTCATCATTATTTATTTGTATTGGCAGGACATTCTACTCAATGGAATTGAAGGAGGCTTTTTGTTCTCCAAAGCTGAGAAGTGAAGGGAGATACATTTCAGCGTCTCAAAGAGAAAAGGGATATGCACATATTTCGACTTCTGGTTGAGTTAAAATGGGGGGGGGGGGAATTATTCTACGAGGGTCAATACAACATCAGTAGCTTATTCATGTTTTAAGACAAAAAGAAACAATGAATTCATACATAAAATTAAATAAGTCAGCCCAGCCTGCTGTAGCAGCATATATACACTAGAAAATATAAGAAAATTATCCAAGCTAAAAACCGGTTGATATAAAAGATGCCTTTAAGAATTGGTGGTGGCGGGGGTGTCATTGCAAAACCACACAGTCCTTCAGAAGACCCAATATGACCACCCCACTTAAAAGATAACTCAAGCAGAGTTGGCAAAGCTGACAAATAAGCTACAGGAGAAGAACAACCGGGACTTCAAAGAAGACTGGGAACTTTTTACATACTATTTTTAAAAAAACACAGCAAAATGATTTGGATTCTGTGGCAGGTTTTGAATAAACATCCACAAATTTATTAACAGAATATAGGACAGATGATGGAATGATATGTACAGTTTTTTACATGCAGAGAGCAATATGTGCAAATAAATCAGAGAGGGGAGCTGAGGGAAGTCTTGGGGGGGAGAGGAGGGATGGGGGGAATAAAAAGGGGGGAAATGTAATTGATTATTTGAATAATTTGTTTGGTTGAAATTGTTTAATAAAAATATTTTTTTTTTTTAAAAAAAAGGTAACTCAAGCACATGCTTCTCATACAAAAAGTCCTAAGTTAAGTCCCACATTGGGCAAAAACAGAGCTTTTTTCAGGGGGAACTCACAGGAACTCCATTCTGGCACCTCCCAAGTGGATGCCATTGCCAGAGAACAAGGGAGATGTTCATAGTGAGTTACGGCACCTCTTTTTCTAGAAAAATAGCACTGGGCAATAGATTCCTGTATTGCACTGGGTTGGACTAGAGGACCCTCATGGTCCCTTCTAACTCTACGACTGTATGATTCTTTAAGTGCTTGGCATCTCCAGATATGATACAAAAATGCAAAACTAAGCTAGATCAACCAATGATTTGACTCAGTATAAGAACACTTCCTTTACCCCTAGAAGCAATGGCTGCCCCAATAAACAGATTGCTTCATGGGACTTTAGGATTTTAGCAAATCTAATTAATGTATAGATCATCATCATCATCATCATCATTTTTAATTTGTATACCGCTTTTCTATCTTACAATACTCAAGACGGTTTACAAGCTGAAGAAACAAAAAATGTACATCTTATAACAATCTAATGCAATACAAAAATGTGATAATAAAACATAACTTTAAAATAGGCAACCTCCATCAAAAAAGTAACATTCAACAATCATTAGAATAGTATAAAATAATAATATCAACATATAAAAGTTAAACAGAAATCCACTCAACAGTTACAATAATATCTAAACTATAATCAATAAAACAATGGCAAGCCACAGTACATAAACCAATACAATACCCATTGAGAAGCAGAGGGTAGAGCAAGGCAGGTGGAAAGAGGCCTTGCCTGATGGAGTCTCTCCCCTCACAGTTCTTCCTCCAAGAACAGCTCCCTTATGAGGACTCCTAGGGTCATAGGGTGGGGGCAAGGCAGGTGGAAGGAGGCCTTGCCTGATGGAGTCTCTCCCCTCACATGAGGGGATGAGGAACGTGTGCCCCCCCCAATATATTGTTGGAGTGTAACTCCCACGAGCCCCAGCTAGCATGGCCAATGGACAGAGAAAATGAGAGTTGTAGTCAAATTACATCTGTAGGGCCACAGATTGCTCATCCCTAGATTATGAAGCTGGGATGAAAATTCAGATGCATTCAAACAATTGCTAGACCAGGGGTCAGCAACCTTTTTCAGCCGTGGGCCGGTCCACTGTCCCTCAGACCATGTGGTGGGCTGGACTATTGGTTGTTGGTTTTTTTGGGGGGGGGGGAATGAACAAATTCCTATGCTCCACAAATAACCCAGAGATGCATTTTTAAATAAAAGCACACATTCTATGCATGGAAAAACACCAGGCAGCCCCCACAAATAACCCAGAGGTGCATTTTAAATAACACATTCTACTCATGTAAAAACACGTTGATTCCCGGACCGTCCGTGGGCGGATTGAGAAGGTGATGGACCGCATCTGGCGTGGGCCTTAGGTTGCCTACCTCTGTGCTAGACTCTTGCTAACAAAGGTCATCAAAACAGTTGCGGAACTTTCAGAAGACCAGGCTGAGATTTCCCTGAAGGTCGGTCAGGATTCTCAGCAATTGTAAACATGTGGTCTTTAATTCAAAATTAGGGAGGGGGAATGACATGCATTTTTAGAGCGTTTCATAAAACGGAGTTACATAAGGAAAGAAATATATTTCGAGGGTTTGTTTGTTTTTTGAAATTCAGTCTTTGAGAACTCCCATACAAACTGACATGATCAACCCTTCCCAGGCTATGTGCATCAGAAATTGAACAGAACTAATGGGGCTACCCACCTAGCAGTTCAAAAGCACTCTTAAGTGCAAGTAGATAAATAGGTACCGTTTTATAGCGGGAAGGTAACGGCATTTCCGTGTGTTGCGCTGGTGCTGGCTCGCCAGCTGCAGCTTCGTCACGCTGGCCACGTGACCCGGAGGTGTCTTTGGACGGCGCCGGCTCATGGCCTATAGAGCGAGATGAGCACGCAACCCTAGAGTCGGACACGACTGGCCCGTACGGGCAGGGGTACCTTTACCTTTAATGGGGCTACAGTGGTACCTCAGGTTACATACGCTTCAGGTTACAGACTCTGCTAACCCAGAAATAGTGCTTCAGGTTAAGAACTTTGCTTCAGGATGAGAACAGAAATTGTGCCCCGGTGGCGTGGCGGCAACAGGAGGCCCCATTAGCTAAAGTGGTGCTTCAGGTTAAGAACAGTTTTAGGTTAAGTACGGACCTCCGGAATGAATTAAGTACTTAACCTGAGCTACCACTGTATTGGGTTGTTGTTTTTATGTTTATTAGGTATTTTGTGGTTTTATATCTTGATTTTATTTATGAGACCCCCTGGGTATAGGGCGGTATATAAGTTCAAATCATCACCATCATCATCATCATCTCTCATGCTTCCAAAATATTCTGATAAAGCTGGTGAAGCTGAAAGAAAAACCCTTTCAAAACATGTTTTTAAGCTGCATATTTTTGAGGGGGAGGGTAAGTACTTCGTTAAATGCAAGCGGATTTTTAAAAGTGTATTAATATGGAAACAGAACAAAATGGATTATATGGCTGAACATTTATGGAAGTGTCACTGGCTGACTTGCTGAGGGAGATTTCATAGGTAGAGGCATCCATCTGCTCAGCTCTGCTAGCTGAGCTGTCTTCCACCAGTGCAGTGACCTCCATCCTCCACCCAGGTGGGTGAGAGGTCTGCTCGTGGTATCCTGCATCTGATTTACACCCATTTTACCAACCACAGCTAATTGCACCCTGTCCCATGTCATTATGGGGTGGAGCAAGGGGCTGTGTTGGGCAGGGAATATGGTGGTGTCAGTAGCGAGCCAGTCAGTGGTAAATCACACAGCAGTTAACTCTTTATTAGAAAAACAGGATCTGAACACGAGCACAGCGACTCTTCTTCAGTAGGTCTTGCCCCTTATGTAGCAGTTGTGGAGACTTTAGGTCCCCGCCTCCCCACAGCTACGTCCCCTCCTCTTCAGAGTTTCCCCCAAGCAATCTGAGACTGCGCCTGTGTGCTTGTCATTGCTCCTCCCATGTCATGCCTCTATTGGTTCTGAGATATCGGGAGACAGGGGAACTTGACACAGCAGGATGGGGAGACACCTGTGACTCTTCACCAGCCTGACTCATCTCTGCCCCTTGGCTTCCCTTGTTGTACTCTCCTGCTGAAGCTTCTAGCTCTGATTCTGGACTGCTCTCTACCGCAGCCTCTTCCTGCTCACTAAGCCCTGTTACCTCTTCAGCTTCTAACACATCCCATCAGTCTTCTCCCACTGACCACTCATTGTCGTCCGACCACCAAGCCCCAGGCTCTGGGGGTTCCCCAGTTGGTTCTTCCCACCACTCTTCTGCATCCAGGCAGCATGAAACTTCTATTCGCACAGCTTATTCTAATCCAATCCCTTGACTTTAGTGAGTTATTCTAACTGAGGTAGGAGCAGGTTAAGAGGTTCATTTTCTTAAAACATACTGGCTGCCATAACAGCTTCTAATAGTAAAACATAGCACTAATTGCTTCAGGAAAATGCAGCATCGATCTATCTGCAATCCTAAGCATATTTCCTAGGAAGTAAACCCGGCTGGATGTAGTAAATTTGTCCAATGGGACTGATAAGTAAGTAAGTAAGTAAAATGGAGTGGGATAGAGCCCCCAAACCATTCCAAAATGTCTAATCTTTCCTAGAATATTTTTGCTTTACCTTCTCCTAATTAATCAAAATCCCATATGTTTTGGATATTAATTCTATAAGCTTTATTGTTCATTTTAGAATTCGTTCAAAATGAGAAAATTCCCGTGACCCTTGATTCATGCAAAAGATTTTAATAAAATGAGCTAAGCCGTATTATTTAGAAAAGCCCTTTCCCCTCCAGAATGAAAACTCTATGTCTTTTCTTATTCAATCATATTGTGGGTAATATAATCCAAAGATCAAAGGAGGCAGATCAGGAGATATTGTGTATGCCAAATGTTCAATAGAACTAGGACTTGCAATTTGGGTTTTTACACATGAAAGTCTATCTCTTGCACCTCGCTAGCACAAAGTAGATAATGGTATATCTAACTGATCTTGTTCAGTATTGTATCAAGCAGGAGTTAGTTCATTTTGGCATTATGAAAACACTTTTAGTTGGTTTCTTCTGCATTGTGCTTCTCTTTAACAAAAAGCAGTATATTTTAAGAGCAACTCTTAAGGAGATATATATATATATCTCCTTAACACAATAACTATTACAAAGTTATCAGTATGGTTCAGATAGTTGTTTTAAAGCAAAAAGTGATACTTGCTAAAGCTGTACATTTGTCGTGGACTCATACTTCATTCAAGATTAGGGTCCCTGCCTCAGAGATACTAAGACAACTTTGGAATCAACAGAGAAGACATTACAGGCTTTGCAAATTAAGTCAAGGTGACCCTCTGCCTTGGATCAGAAGGGAAGCCTGGAGTTATTCTGAGACACCAAACAGAAGACCCCCTCCCCTCCATCAGAGCCGAGGAGGCTGGTTCAAGTGCGATTCCCTCTGCCCCACTGTGTACAGCCTTAATGTGTGACTTTGGCATGCATGCCTAATGTTTGTTGTTTATTATGGATAGTAACTCCAAGTGCAGAGGTAAAAGGGTAAAGGTAAAGGACCCCTGGACGGTCAAGTCCAGTCAAAGGTGACTATGGGGTTGCGGTGCTCATCTCACTTTCAGGCTGAGGGAGCCAGCGTTCATCCACAGACAGCTTTCCAAGTCATGTGGCCAGCATAACTAAACCACTTCTGGCACAACGGGACACCGGAAACCAGAGCACACGGAAATGCTGTTTACCTTCCTGCCACAGCAGTACCTATTTATCTACTTGCACTGGTGTGCTTTTGAACTGCTAGGTTGGCAGGAGCTGGGAGAGAGCAACGGGAGCTCACTCCGTCACAGGGATTCACATCACTGACCTTCCGATCAGCAAGCCGAAGAGGCTCAGTGGTTTAGACCACACCACTACCCACATCCCTCCAAGTGCAGAACCAGTTGGTTAGCCGGTAACAGATATTTTCCATGGAAATACTCACATA